CGGTAGTGGTTTGCCCAACGAAGAGGGCTATGCCAGTGCAGGGTAGCTTGTGGTAGTGGAGCTGGTTGGTCATTGATAACAGCCGAGTCATACGAGCCACTCCTTCAGAATCTTACGTTTTCTTGGCCCGAAATCTAGTGATCAGAGGAGGTCTTCAGGATAGCCCTATCGATACCCTATCGATACCCCTCTGTATAGGCCCAACTTGTCATGTGATGCCAAGACCAGTTTGACCCCTGTCGATACCCTACGAATACTCTTTTTTTTTCTACAGCGATGGGGAAGACGCCGAAAGCAATGGCTGGCATGCGGCTGCTGTTGAAGGAAGCTTTACAGGATGATGTGGAAGGTCCGGTCCTAGTAGCCCGTGCTTGGGAAGCCGTGCCTGGAGAAGCCAAACGGCCGCGAGGGAAAGCTGCAGCAGCAGCAGTGGACGGGCGTGGGCTCAATGCAGCTCAGCGACTTTGGCTGGAGGGTTACGTGTGGAAAGAAAAATGGACAACCCTCAGCAAGGCCCAGCGGACTGAGCTCATCGAGCGGGCAGCTGCGCAATCTCAGGCCAGTGCGAAGCCAAAAGCCAAAGCAGCCTCGACCAACGCGCGCCAGAAAGTGATCAAGTCGCCAAAGTTCAAGAAACAGCCGGCAGGCAGAGTGCAGAGATGGCGAAGAAGAAAGTCTCTGCAAAGCTGCTTAGACAGGTGTGTCACCAGTGAGGATGCTGCTACTGATGTCACACGTGTGCTGCAGCAGCTATCACAGAGGTGGCCAGACATACTGCCTGCAGTGTCCAAACGCATCGGAGGTGCTGGCTCGCTCGTGTCTGGTGAATCAAGTGGGTCATTGACTTCCATCTCGTCTTTTCTTCTGGGTCGCCTGTCCAAATGCCCCGGGTTTGCTTCGCCAAACCCACCGGATGCAGTGCGCTTGGTTAGGGAGCATGTGGATGTGATGGTGCGTGAATTTTGTGGCACTCAAGCCCGCGCAGCTGAATTCGGCTTTAGCATGGGGGGGATCCGCTGGAAACGTGCCGGAGAGCAGAACCGAGAGCCCGCTCTCAGGAAGCGAGGAAGACCTGACAAGAAGAACAACCCACAGCTCATAGAGATGGTGGAGCAAGCTTTGTCAGCAGCCTCACAGCCTAGCAGCCGTTTGTCGTGGGACCCGCAGGACCAGGAGTGGAAGATCGTGAGCACTTTGAAGCAGGACAAGAAAAGCATCTGGCAGCAAGGTTCCGAGATACGAGCATCTTTGGGTTTGTCCACGTTCTGGCGTCTAGCAAAGAAGCATTTGAGACATTTCAAAGAAGCGGATAGCATCAATGACTATTGCATCTATTGCTACGATCTCAAGAAGAAAGTACTTCCCCAGGCAGCGTGCCCAAACCATGCATGCCTGCGTAACTAATATAGAGTATGGAGTAGCCTGGAGTAGCCACTTCTCTCACGAAGCCTTCTGTGTTGCTTTGTTTTTGTTGCTTAACTGAAAGTAGTCAGATTTGGAAGACCTGCCCCTCAGGTGAA